TTGCTCATGTAGGGTTTTAAAAGTCAGCTGGACTCCGACATGGCGAATATGGAAGTTTCATTTTAATGTTCCATTATCCATATAATAACCCCAATATATAATAGTAGTTTTTTGTTTCTTTCCCATTATCTGATGTTTTCTTTGGAGGGGCGCTGCAGGGACATCAGAGAGATTAGGTTGCAAGAAACTTGCCAGACATCAGCATCATTAAGTCAGCACACGGATGGATGGAGGGGGGCGGCGACAAATGCTTTTAAAAACTTAGAAGCGCATATTTTGTTTTTTGATAGCGGCTCCAAGAAAGTAAATTCTCTCGATGCCAAAATAACTTGAAAACTAAACCCTGAGGTTTGAAAATCAGAGGGAAAATATTTTGTGTTGGATGGCAGCTCCCAAAAAAATCTAAAGATCACACCAGACAACTAAATTCTCTCGACGCCAATAACTTAAAAACTAAACCCTGCACCCTAAACCCGCCCGAGTTCTCTGAAAGATAAAAGCTTACTAGGCTTGAGGGCTTAGGGTTTTAAGGGTCTTAGGGGTTTAGCGTTTTAGGTCTTAGGGTTTAGATACCTCCTGCACCCTAACCTGTCTTGGTCAGGGCCCCGTCAGGTTTCAGGAAAGGTTCTTCTTCGCGCAGGAGGTCTACACTGGAGGCGGGAAAGACGCTGAAAGAGTGTCTAGGGCGCTGAGCAAGTGCCGAGGGCGCTGATTAAGTGCCGAAGACGAGCGCTGCGCTAGTGCTGGGGCGCTGAAGAACTGCTGTCATAGCTTTCCTGGCAGTACTGAGCTGGGGGCGCCGGGCACTCCTAAATATTTATGAAAGGGTTTAGGCTAAACCCTATAAACCCTAGACCAAGCCTGACTACAGATATGCTGAGTTGGTTTCTGTCTACGAGCATCGAAGGAAATACTCAACGATGTCAGTTTGAGCAGCAAGAACACATCACATTCCTCTTTCGAAGACGTGGATCCACTAAACCCTAAACCCTAAACGACCATGTTGAGGGGAGTTGAAAAAATGGTTGCTCAGTTGCAGGACATTCAGCAAACGCGCCTCCTCATCTTTTGGATCCATGGTGTCTCAGCCTCGGCGGGCATCAGAATGGCTTCCCATGATTTTCAAGCGGGAACCCGCAAAAGCAATCGTAGAGAACCGCCCTCACATAAGAAGTTGTCACTCAGGCTCCGCTTGCTGATATTCACTCAGCGTGATTCGCCCAAACTAAAGCCCAGTTCCCCCAAGGATGCCCCAATATTCCACAATTCTTCGTAGCAATAATTGTGGAATTGCAATACCAGTAGTAATCAACATTGTTACTCCAACCCTACTACGCATTGTTAACCCCTTGCCATCACTGTAGCTTGGACACTTGCTCAGCGTGCCTTGGACACTTGCTCAGCGTCAGAGAAGCTTCCTGAGGCTCTCTTTGGCTGGGGCCGCTGCATTGTCGAAGATCTATTTGGTTCCTCGGCAGCGCATCTGTATCAGTTACGCTTTGGGATTGAAGTTGCAGGATCTGAGAATTTCTGACATTCATGCCAGGGTCCGAGGCTGCTTTCAAAAAGCAGAGACACATAAGGTGCTCAAGCTGTACATTAAATTAAAAACCAGCAGCCTGTAATTCTACAGAAGAATCGCGCTGTCTTCTACATCTGTGTGTTGAATAACAACCGACAAGGATGACCCATCTTGCTAACCATTACAGGGTGCCTGGCTGCAATCCAAAAACCGGGAGACCCCCAGGCCCAGTGTAGCAAGGCCTAGCAGTTCCTGTCAAAAACCAGCAACCAGGAAACAGTATATACGCATTTGATTCCCCAACCTCCCTAGCCCAGCGTGGCCCAGCAGCACACTAAGCACGGTGTCCAGAGCTTGCTTTGTCATCACATTATTACAAAGGTCCGGAAGTTGGTTCATAATGAGACAGGTCTATAGCCAGAAGATATCACAAACATTGTAGACAAATATTGTAGCTTTACAAGCTCTTTAATCTTCACACTCCGCCCGCCGCTCACTCAGAATCTCTTCCAGGCCGTCTCACCTGTGAGCGAAGCTTCCGCCAAATGTTAACTTACGGGAAAGACTGCCTGGCCTGCTAGTCCCTCTGCTTCTTCTCCTTCCGCTTCTTAATCTTGGTGTCCTTGTCCAGGCCCGAGTCTCCATCCTGACGCAGTCCAACATTCACTTAAGCTTTCTAGCCTGCTTGCCCGCTAATGTGCGCTGACTATTTGCCTCCGAACTAAACAATTGCCTTGCGCTTCGACGGCCCGTCAGCCTTGTCCTTTTTTGCCTGGTCACCGAAAAATACGTTTTCTGTCTTTGAACCTTGAGCCCGTGCCTCCTTCTTCTTTTTGAAGGGCTCCTCATCCGTCTTCTTCACGGGCTCATCAGTCTTCTTCACGGGCTCACCCTCAGGAGTTGCGCAGAAAGCAAGTCAGCAGCAGCGCCGAATAAAAGAAACCCGTCCTTGGTCCCACTGGCTACGGTGGCAGCCGCCTGTCCGGCCAGCAGCTCAAGAAAACGAGCTGAAAGCATGTCCCCTTGCGCCTTGGTGATCTCCTCCTCGTAGAAGCCGACGATGATCTTGTTCTCCTGGCGCTGATCTCAAGGCTGAGGGGAAGGGTTCGCTGTTAAGCTTGCTTGAACGCTGACTGCCATGCCTCCTTGGCGTTCTTCAGCTCCTTGTCCAGAGCTTCATTGGCCTGAAACGGGAGGCGTTCTTGAAGCTCCATTGTTCTGAGGGGGTGAGGTGGCGCCCAGCCTTCTTCAGCTGGACCCTCTCGTTCCGCAGCTCATCTATCTTTGCGGTCATCTCCTTCTCCTGCTTCACGAACCTGTCGTTCGCGTCCATCCATGGCTTCAAGTCTGCTGCCGTTGCCATCTTCGTCTTCTGCTCCTCCGCCTCAACCATCCTCCTCCGTCTTGTGCCGGGCCTTCAGATTATCCATCTCTTCCTGCTTCTTGCCCAGCTCCGCTTGGTGGTTCAGCATCACCGCTGCTTGCTGCGCAAGCATGTCGCTGATCTTTTTCTGGTGCTCCAAGGCCATGACTCGCTTCTCCAGCTGGCACTGATCCTTGACTTCCACCAGCCTGTCCTCGAGCCTCTTTATGTCCTGCTTGGCCCGGTACAGCTCGTGCCGGCGATCCTGGGCCTTGTCCGCCCTGTGGCCCGGAGGATGCTGCCAGCGGCTCCCTTGGTTCTGCTCGCCATGCCTCTCCGAGTTCTGAGCCTGTGTCTGCTGGCCCTGCTCATCTTGGTTGTGCTGCGGGCCCTGCCCCTGCTGGTCCTGATCTTGGTTGTGGTGGTACTGGGCCCATTGTGTCTGCTGCCACTGCCGTGCCATGGCGAGTCGGGCCTCTAGGGAAGCTCACTACAACATCTTGGAATCATGCCTTATGCTGTGCCATGACGGGCGAAGGAATTGGGGTCCAGTGCACAATAAAGTATCATGACTGCTTCTGCGCTTCCACGTTGCGGGCTACAGCGGCCTACCTTACGAGCACCTGGCAAGACCTGTCCACTTTCACAGCTCTGGGCCAAAACTGACTTCACCCGCAGTAAGATCTCAAGGTAAAGCTCTGTCCACACTCACCTCCCTGATCTGAGGTTGTGGCAGCCCGCCCAACGTGGAGGCGCCTGGCAGCAGGCTCAGGCAGAGAAAATTCCGCGGGAGCTTAGGGTGCTGAGTTTAAATAGGGCTACGCGTGAACCCCAGAAGTGTCCTGCATGAAGCACGCTCTCGGTAAAGCTGCCTAGCCATGTGAATACTTGTACTAAACCCTGCTACCAAGTTGGTCTGCAAACATCAGAAGGTCTCGGTAAAGCTGCCTGGGGCCTATCTAGCCATGTGAATACTTGTCCTAGACCCTGCTACCAAATTGGTCTGCTGGGCCTCGTTCCATGCGCTTGTCTTTGCCAGGAAGAGACAGCCCTTGCAGGCGCTGCAGCACATTTCAAGGCTGGATGTAAGCTTATTAGATCAGGAGGCGCTGAGCAAGTGCTAGAGCACTGGACTAGTGCTACAGCGCTGAACAAGTGCTTTCACTGCGTAAGATTTAAGAAGAAGGCCGGGAGTCTCATGTTTCAAGTCGATTGTCATTGTGCTGACTCACCGACACATAAGCGGCCACGCTCACACATGAAAATCTATCCACTTGCTTTGCAGGGATGTGACCACTGCTGCATACTCATGGATGAGTATGCCCAGGCTGTCCTGATTGCAGCAGTCTCCAGCAGCGTCCGCTCCTGCCTAAGCAGATTGTCCAAGTAGAGGCTTCGAGCACTGTGGTTAAGCTGCGGCATTACGACGATCCGGGCATAGCTTGATTAGCTAATCCGCTGTGTGACCTACAGAGAATTTTGTGAGGCTAAAGGACAGTTCAAGGGAACTGTGCTATCCGCTGGATTTCTTGTGCGAGGCACACACACACTTGAAACCTTTAGCGCCTCAGTGGCAACCCTACTGCTGTAGCACTGCCTGAGTGCACCCATGACACATGTAATATGCCCCGCGCAACATTTCGAGAAGCCAGCTAGGACCTTCTGGGCGCCCGTGCCGCAACGGAGGAAGGCCTGGCGACATCCACGCATTTTGAGCACGCTAGGCTTGCAGCTTCTTAAGTTAAGGGATGTGGATGCATAGTTGTTGGGGCTACCAAGTTCAGGGTCGTGAGGGTGAAGGCTTCCACAGAATTTTGTTACGATCCTAGCGCAGCCTGCTTCAGATGCACTGACACTTCTGCAGCGTCCGGCCTGACACTTCTTGCAGCGTCGTGGTCTATGTGTACGGTAGGTAGATTGAAGGTATTAAGGGCAGGTCGCCTAATGGGGGCTGCTGGTTGCGGTGGTTAGTTGAAGTAGGCGGGTTTGGCAGGTCGCCTAATGGGGTATTAGGCGACCGCCCAGGGTTTTTGGGCATTTTAGCATCCTGGCAGATCGCTTTTTCCCTTTCGCAGGGTTGTGGCTTGAGCCTGGGGCAAGGGTGTTCGGGCCGCCATGCTGTGCAACTGCTCGCAGGGTAAGTGCGCGCGCTGCTTCTTCCAGCGCAATGAAAAAAAGCTCTTGGAGGAGTTCCACTGGCTTGAGCAGGCCAGCGCAGGCTTTGGTTGCTCCTTGTGCCGACAGTTCTATGCTGGCAAACCCATGCTGTCAGCGGCGCACGGAGGAAGCTGGCGTCAGAACGGAGTGCAGAAGCACGCATCATTGCAACCTCGCAATCTGCGTAAGCATGCTGACTCGCAGGAACATCAGCGAGCCGCGGATGGCATGGCTGGGGTGGCCTTTGCCAACGCAAGCTCTGCCCCTTCTCACGAGGATTTCCGGCAGCTGATCATGGTCCTGCAGAAGCACACCGTGGGCAGAGACGGGGTCGACAAGGTTGCTGGGCACAAGAAAGCGCGGCGGATGGCTTGGTGCATCGCTGAGGCTAGCAGGGACATGAAGCGTGACATGTGGCGCCCCGGCGTCGGAGCTGATGGAAAACCTGTGATCTTTTCGACTACGCTGTACCAGGATGCAAGGGCCGGCCGCCTCAGCATTCGGTTCTCAGCAGCCAGCTCAGCAATGGACACTTGCAGTGGCCATTTGTATACGGTGAACCTCAAGGATTTCAGCACGGATTCGGTTGGCCTGATGAAAGCGACAATGTTTGCGCTGCGGGCATTTTGCTGTCGGCGTCTGCATCCTCCTTACCTGGAGGGCAACAAACAGGTGACCCTTCCGGACGAGAATCTGGAGATGCGAGCTCGCTTGTTGTCCAGTGTTGAGACATTCTGTTCAGACGCTGCGTCTGACGAAATTCGAGCTGGCCGAATGCTGGCAGGGCAGACATCGGTGACCGATGAGTACTTGCCGAGACTGCCAAATCTGAAAATGGTGGTTCGAGACCGACCGCACGCCGTCAGGCGAGTGCTGACGCGTGGGTGGCAGCCAGATGGCTACCTGCAGGAAGTCGCTACGGAGTTTGTGGCGGGCAAAGGCAGCCCCGTCAACAGAATACAGCACAGCCATGTCTTCCAGGACTTCTTTTCCGCTAACATCAAGGCCTTGGACCCGGGTCTGCGGGCAGTACGCACGCATCCTCACATGCAAGATCTTAGCTACGCACCCCATAGATTTGAGTCTGCGACTAAGCCTCTTGCGCGCATCGTTTTATTCCTCCACGCCTTCTTGGCAACAGTTTCCCAGATAGCGTGGGACAGAAAGCATGAGGAGGAGGGCAAGGATATGGCCCGCTTCCTGCTATGGCTGGACGACGAGCGTCTCTTAACATTAGCGCTCATGGCAGATGCTGCGACGGAAACGACGGATCTACTCCGTATGGTGGACTACCAGGGCCATCCGGTAGACGAGCTGGGCGCGAATGTTCTGGGACTCAAGCACAGGGTTCGCAAGTTGTTCTTAGGCGCAGCGCCGCTCTGTCTGCGGACCGGGTTCACAGCCCATATGATCAAGTTGTTGGGATCCGAACGTGTGTTCACAGTGCCGTCCGCGAGGGGCACGACGAAGAACGTCAGGGTGGGACACTCCGGTGGAATGTCCGAGGTTGTCATACAGAGGTGCCTTTCCCGGCTAGCCGCCTGGATCTTGGTTGCAGAGTCCACGCTGGATGCCGAGTTCCCGTCGTTTGAAGCCATGGAATGCTTCTCTATTTTCACAGTCACGGGTGAGAGTCGTGACGCAGTCCACACGGTCAGCAACACTTCGAAGATGTCACGCCTTCAGCGAGCCTTCGGCTTGCCCGATGACTATGCCGCAGTTGATCAGCTCGTGCGCTTTCGTCGCATGGCGGAACGGGCAGCGAAAGAAGAAGGTCTGCAATCCGCAGCTGCTTGGCGCGAAGGACTGCGCCGTGCCACTCGTACATGGACCAAGCCTGAACTGTCCGCGCTTCTCCAGGTCATGGTACGCTTTTGGGCAACGGGAGCATCGACGTCCGGGGTCGAACAGTCCTTCGGGAAGACCAAGACCTTGTGTGAGGGCCTCCAGGAAATCAGCCACGTGAACGACATAATGGAGGACTTCGGTTTGTAAATGTTTGTAACATGATTTCATGGGCGCAGACCAGCGCGCCCCTCCCCTTCCCATTTTGGCCAATTTCTCAGACCTCAGATGCAATCAAAACTACCCCACATGTCACCAAGTTGATGTTTCTGTGTATTCTGCATGTGGTTTGAGCTAGTATGTGTAGCTTGCCACGGAGATAAGAACTGAATGAAACACCCCATGAACTTGTACAGCCCACCAGCCATCCTTAGCGTTCCCCGCTCTCCTCAGGTGGCTGACCTGAGCACAGCTGACCTCTCGTCCGTGCTGGACGGAGCGCGGTCACTTTGGTCAGAGTACTATGGCGCCTCCCGCGCCTCTGGTATAGGCAACCGCGAAAGGCGCAGTGATTGCGGCATTACTCGTGCCCAGACGAGTTCTAGCAGTCGACTGCCTTCGATGCAAGGCTGGTTGCAGGACAGAAAGCAGGCGGTGGGGCAGGCAACTGCGCAGGCTCCCTTGCCACCGGAGCCTCAGGAGGCGGAAGTCATGTGGAGCCAAAAGCACACGAACGAGATCAAGTTCTTGCAGGACCTCCTTGAACGGAGCTAAAATTAGGTTGCGTGTTTGTCTCTGCCCACAACCACGTGCTTCCCAAACCCCAAATCTTAGACCCTTAACCTGCGTGGCCCTGCGCTTGCAACTGCCAGGACAAGCGCATCATCCACTGTGCTGAAGAGGTGAAGGCCCAGCGTTACGACGCCCTCGCTGGCCTCAGTGATGCCGAGCTTCAGCTGGCGCTGGACAAAATCGAGCACTGGAAGGACACAGATCGGGACTATCACAACCGGCAGAGAAAGAGAGCGCGTCTGCGGCAGGCACCGACTCCAGTGGACCTCACAGGGCAGCCAGTCTATGTTTGCGCAGATTTGCTCTCAGATGGGGAGCTGCGCGAGCGGAACATGGTCCAGAATGGCCTTGAGGTGACGCAACGAAAAAGCCTTGTAATTATAGCTTTGGGGTCACTGAGGCAAGACGTCATCTTGGATAATGGCTAGTTGGTTTAATGGCTAGTTGGATAATGGCTAGGCAGTATAGTTTTTTTAGATCCCACACCCTCCCGCTGCTAGGCGGCCTCCGTTTTTGTCGTGGCCAGTGTTTTTGAGCCTCCTACAGAAGTTCGCTGGCACGCCATACTCGGCGGTGGAACCATTGTGGATGTGGCATTTGTCAAGTCTGGCACTGGCGTAAGCCAAGCTTTCAAGGCAGCTTTGCAGACTCAACGGGTGCTCTGGCTGACGGACGCGTTTATGGACTCGCATGGAGACCTGGCGCGCGGGCTTGTGAACAGGATGGGCAACGGCCACGGTGGCTGCCAGTGGCGCTTGGCCCAGGATAGGGCGCACTTCCTGCAGAGAGCGGGCAAAGACAAAAACAAGGCCATCCTCCTGTGCTTGCAGGCTGAGAAGGCTGACGCATGCTGGGCAGGTGTGAAGCACAAATTCGATTTGATGGATGCCATCGGGTTTCTCGAGCACGTGGTTCCTGAGAGATCCACGGCAGGAGTGTGCGGACGTTGATAGTTCGCAGTGAATTCGCGCAAGCTGAACGGAAAGGAGCTGGGGTAGTCAAACAAGAGCGAGGTCCTTTTTTTTTGCCAGGCGCCACCAATGTCAGACGTTCTGATGCGTGATGCGAGCCTGTCAGCCCTCACCCCAAACAACCCGAATCCTAGCTACTGTAACCCTCATTGCTGAATTAACCTTAAAACGGTTGCAGGCTAGGAGCGGTCGGGAAACCCTCACTCAGCCTGAGCCTGCCGCCAGGCGACGCCGGCACTTTCATTCTGCTGGTTGCCACGCACCCAGTTCGGCTCGACATCTCACAAGTAAAGAGACCCCGTCAACATGTCTAGAGGTAGTGATGTGTGACTGTATTAGTAGGAGTAGTAGGAGGCATAGTAGTAGAGGTAGTAGTAATAGTAATATTACTAGTAGTACTAGTGGTAGAAGTAGCAGTAGTAGTATCAGTAGTAGTAGTAGTAGTAGAAGAAGTAGCCGCAGATGTAGGAGGGCTCTCCGCATTTGAAAGGGGTCTAGGAAGGGTCTAAACTTTAAAGTGCTAGGGTGTCATGGATGGATGGTTTCTTGGGTGGCGAGTGCTGAAAGGCTGCAGCGTCGACCACTGCTACTACTACTACTACTACTGCTACTACTACTATACTACTACTACTACTACTACTATACTACTACTACTACTACTACTATACTACTACTACTACTACTACTGCGACAACAACAACAACAACTACTACTACTACTACTACTACATCACTACTACTACTACTACTACTAAAAAAAAAGAAACAATAATCAATAATAGTACTACTCCTCTTACTACACATGGTTTACTACGTACTATACTACTACATGCTCAAATGCTTCCACAGCTCTGCGCCACTTCTAGGCCATGCCTCCGGGATCCGCGCGTCGAGGTGAGCATCTACTTCAAGGAACATGGTGTTGTGGGGAATTTATCAGTGTCAGCACCTAAAGCATCGGACGGAGAGTATCATGAACGTGATTCTTCTACTTAAACTCACTTTGTGTGGACTGCTGCATTCAGCTTCTGTTAATAGGCGACGACCCTTGCGCACTTAGTAGTAGTATAGTACTTAGTAAACCATGTGTAGTAAGAGGAGTAGTACTATTATTATTATTTAGTAGTAGTAGTAGTAGTAGTAGTAGTGGAGCAGTACTGGCATAATCTCATGGTGGACGCTGCAGAAGTGTCAAGTTGCATGGTGGACGCTGCAGAAGTGTCAAATTGCATGGTGGACGCTGCAGTAGTGTCAAAGACGGTAGTGGTACTGGAAGTACCAGTAGAAAGTAGTAAGTAGTAGTAGTAGTAGTAGTAGTAGTAGTAGTAGTTGTTGTTGTTGTTGTTGTTGTTGCTCTTGTTGTTGTTGTTGTTGTTGTTGTTGCAGTAGTAGTAGTAGTAGTAGTAGTAGTAGTAGTAGGCAGGGAGTGCATGTAGATACGAGGCACGCGTAGATTTGCGCCGTAGAGCCGGAGTTGGGTCTTTTTTGGGGGTCCCCTTTTTATGGAAGTAAGGGTTCATTCAGCAACCCAGTAGGGTTTAGGGTTTAGGGTTTAGGGGTTTAGGGTAGACCCTAAACCCTAAACCTTAAACCCTAAACCCCAGACCCCCAACCCTAAAAGTGCTACCATGTTCGCTATTACAATGACTTACCATCATCAGTGCTACAGCTACGGCGACAGCACCCCTGAACCCTAAACCCTAAACCCCTAAACCCTCAACCCTAAATCCTAAACCCCTTTGGCTGTGCCTGGGTTCTGCCTCACGCCTAAGAGTAGTCGGCTACTGGCCAGTAGTGGTAGCAGTACGGATGGCCGCAGCCTTCAAAGGGTTTAGGGTTTCACCTCACAGCCGGGCAGGAGCAGAGCTTGGCCGCGCCGCGGCGGAGAGCCACACTTCGGGTCTGCATCTCAGATCCGTGTTCTCATCTATTCACAAGTTGAGGGGCTTTGGGTCAAACCTTAAAAAGGAGCGGAGCTGACACTGCCCCTGCATATCAGTAGTAGGCTTCATTAATGCTAGGCATTGCCTGTGTGGAGATCCATGCTTCCAAAGGTGAGGGATGCTTATGCTTCAGAAGGGTACATGCCTTATTAAACGAGATTCGGCAAGCAGCTCTGGGTTACTCAGCCCCTTTATGCCCCTGGGTTCAGGGTTGAGGGTTTTAAGGGTTTTAAGGGTTTAGGATTTAGGGTTTAAAGTTTAGGGTGTAGCCGTCAACCAAGGCAGACTTTATGCCAGATGTACTTCAGATGTTAGAAGCAGCACATGCCTCAACATTCTGGAAAGTTAGTTCCCTCAAGAACGTGATGTGAAAGCATTCTGAAGCAAAACCTGAACTCTGGCGCATGTCCACCTGGTGCTGCAGGCATGCACTGGTGCTGCTGAGGCTCGGGCTGCCGCAAGGTGTTGCAGAGGCAAAGAGACACAGCTAAGAAAACATTTAGCCTGAGAGCAGAATTAGCACTGGTAAGAGCAATTTCCTCTAGAGGCGTGTGTTGTATCAGTCCGGGGCGCCCCGGACCTTGAACAGTGAGAACCGGTAGCGGTAGGGACAGATGCGTGTCACGAGCGGTCACCGCTGACAACACGGATAAGACCTTACCTCCAGAGCTTTTTGAGTCTTACATTCCGGGGCGCCCCGGACTGAATGAAGGGAAGTCTCTGGAGAAATTTGCTGCTACCAGCAAACGCGTGCATTGAATGACCCTCGCCAGCCTCTTTCAAGTAGCATTCCTTGCCTTCCCGTACATAGTTTCGGATCCTTGTTCACCATGGGCAAGCGTGCAGCCGTTGGCGCTCCACCAGTTTCCAAGGCGAAAGCCAAGGCGAAGACTGCTGCTGCTTCGACGGCGTTGGTCCAACCCGAGCCTATGGAGACTCACAGCGTGAACGCAGAGCTGCAGGCGTTTCTCGCCTCATGCGATGCAGAGATCAAGTCCTATTATGGGTCTGCTCTCGACGAAGTGACATCCTTCTGTGGCGCGCAGCCCTTTGACAAGAAGCTGGCCATGTCTTGTCTTGCGGCCAACGGCAGATACAAATGCGCACTTCCCTTCTTCGCGCTGGACACCATGTGGGAGGCCCAGCCCAACGTTCCACGATACCGCAGCCGCATCGACAGTCTTCGAGACCACTTCTTTGCGGATCCCAACGTCATGGACGAGGCGCTCGTGGTACCCGTGGAACAGGGCGCTGCACTGGATGGCAAGTTTCGTGGCACGCTGCAGAGCATCAGCCCGCCCGAGATGCTTGACGCCCTTCGTGTAGCTGTGGCCGAGGATATCAGGAACAAGGTGCCTAAATCCAGGCTCAAGCAGTGGCTGGGGGTGCTGCAGTCCACGCATGTGCAGTTTGAGGCCATGCAGGGCAACCGCATGGACAAGGTCTTTTCCTCACTGGTTCAGGGCCGCGAGAACATCTGCGTGAAGTGCGAAAACACACGCGTGTCATCGCTTCTTCGAGTGTATGAGATAATGGACTTCAAACGTCAGCTTTCAAAGATCGGAGGCGGCCCTGGGAAAGAGGATAAGAAAGCCAGCGGCGTCAGTGTGGCTGCGCTGGTGGAGAAATACAAGGGGATCTCCTTCGCCAAAATGTCCGAGCCGGTTTCCGCCACATTCATTGAGTATGCTGTGGGCTTTTACAACAATGCCTTGTCGTACCCAGATGTGGCCGCTGTGCTGCAGCGGTTCGATCAGCTGGCAAACAATCCTATCGACAGCATCTACAAGTACCGTTTGGTGATGCTGGGCTGCGAGAAGCAGCGTGACAAGATGCTCTGGGTCTACTCCTTCCTGTTTGACCACTTCGAACACGTGACGCTGATGAAGGCCGTGGCCAAGCGTGGAGACGATGCCAAGTCAGTCAAGGAGTCCGTTCCCCTCAGGTCCCTGCAGGACGGTGCGGTGGAGCATGTGTCCTACGTGCGCTTGTTCTTGATGAAGCGCAGCTTGCGCGAGCATCTGCTGCGTTTCATGGACTAGACCTACAACTGGGATGCGTCCGTGAAGTCAGAAATCCGCAGGGTGACGGAGAGTGTGCAGATGGCCCGGCAAGTGCTTGGTTTCTTAGATGCTGGAATGCACCCAGCGCAGGCCTTTCAGGCGAGGGCCACATGGCCTGAATCGGCGGACAAGTTCTTGTTGGTGTTCGAGTCTCTTGTGTTCGGCTATCAGTATGACGACCAGTTCTGCTCCGTGATTCGCAATCGCAAAGCGGCTGATGATGTGCTCAGCTTGCCGGAGACCAGGACATGGGCAGACTCCGGAGTAAGTGAGGGCAAGTGCAATGGCAGTAGCGTTGCCAGTAGTTGGAGTTAGTAGGAGGTCTAGGAGTGGGAGACGCTGCGCACGAATAAGGAGTTAACTAGGATTATTATTAGTACTAGTAGTAGTAGTAGTAGTAGTAGTAGTAGTATAGTAGTAGTAGTAGTGGAGCAGTACGAGCAGTACTGGCAGTAATTGCATGGTGGACGCTGCAGAAGTGTCAAATTGCATGGTGGACGCTGCAGTAGTGTCAAAGACGGTAGTGGTACTGGAAGTACCACCAGTAGTAGCAGTCATGGCCTTACCAGGAAGTTTATGGATGCCGTGAAGGTGGCATACGACAAAGAATGTGGCGTGGAGGCGGACGCCGCGGTGGAGCTTCCTGAGGAGCAGGTCACTGCTGCGGCAATTGCGGATCTGGAGAGCTTGTGTATGTCCTCAGCCGAAGCTTTCCTTGCCGAACACCCTGACCACTCGCGCGCTGCAACTGTGAGCAGCGGCGTGGCAGCTGCCCAAAGGAAGGTTCACGGGCAGGTCTCCCTCTTGATCGACAAGGAGGAGGGCTTGGGGAAGGAGATTGCTGCAACTCTGGCGTCTCAGGTGCGAAGGGACGTGAAGTCTTACGTCGTCATTGTGCTGGACTGCAAAAGTCTCTGTGAAGCCGGAAGCCAGGCTCGCTATCGACTACCTCCTACACGCCCTGCTCAGCTGCAGCGCCTGTGCAAGGCCTTCCTGGAGGCCAGAGCGGGCACAATGCTGGAAGGAGATGTCTTCGTATGCTTGGATGCTGGGAAGGACTCGGTCGAGCCAGCATTGTTAAAGGCGTTGGGCATGCAGAAGGGGGCCGACGTGCTCCGCCACATGGTAATCTACTCCCAGGAGTCGTGCGAAGCCAGGTTGGAACGAACATCCAAAGCTGCCTTGGACCTTACAGAACGAGCCCTGCTTATCTCGACGGAGGGCATAAGCTTCAAGGCTGGGGTGCTTGCTGATTGACATAGGTGTTTAGACAACGTTGTGCCCAGCCTTCAGTTTCCCAGTCCACGCCCTGAGGTTCAGGCCAGGAAATTCGTTCCTGGCACAACACGGGGCAATGTGATCGGGCCGCTGTCCAAAACGTGCTGGAATGATCCCTTGCTTACATGGACACTCTGCTATAAGCAGAAAAAGGCCGTGTATTCGGCCGCGAACCTCCCATTGCCAGGTGGCTCCTGCGATGCCGAACATGCCAAAGATCCACCCGTCAAGAACGACGACCGCGTGCCGGTCTTTTTTCACGAATCGACGCCGCTCGTGGCCCACGAGTTGCTGCATGCGCTTCAGGGGAAGGCCATTCTGGACTTCAGTCCGGGCAGTGGCGCGTGGGCGATGGCAGCGATCAGAGCGCGCGTGCCTTATACAGGCGTAGCCATGACTGAGACGCGCAAGGCTCTCTTGACAAAGCGGCTGGTCTCCCTGACCTTAGAGGCAATGGTGGACAGCAATGATGACTTGTATGAGGCAGCCTATGCAAGCGAGCTGCAGCAGGCCAGGGCTGCAGTGGGCGCAGGGGTGCCAGTGATCCAGGCTGGCGCTTCTGCGCCCGCTCCTCAACCGGCACCTCCCTCGAGGCCGACTCCTGCTCCGACTCCCACTCCGGCTCCGAGCTCGTCTGCTGACGAGGATGGGAATGCACCTACTAATACTCGTGAAGAACTGATGAAGAGGCTCATGGGCCAATAAGCGTCAAGCCGGTTTGGGTTTGACTTTGCAACTGCCTTGGCACACGAACTTATCATGTGACAAGCCTATGGCGCCCATATCGTACAAGGTAGTTTGAGTTTGTCACAACGTAGGCCTGCTTAGCAGAGCAACATTTCTGATTGCCGAATCTGTGCCGTGGCAGCTGCCATGTGTAGAACTGGGTCCGCACTTGCTCTCATGTTGCACAGCCGAGCAAGCTTTCTGAACCAATGGCCCTGTTTCAAGCTCCCCGGCACACTTGCAACGTAGTAGTCAGGTTCACTTGGCATGCGTATACGATACTCGCAGTCCGTGCTTCATCAGTGCCAGGCATTTATGGAACATGGTTTTCTGAATGCGTAGCATTGAATTGCCGAATCTGTGCCGGGGCCCTCTTGCATTTCGCTGGTGATGTGCTTCTGCGGCCTTGCGGGCTGTGGTGATTACACTTGCGGCTTCTAGCCAAAGCACGGGCAGCCTTTTAGTGCATTGTGAAGCCCATGCAAGGTCCAGCGCATCCCCTAATGTTACGAAGAGTGTCACCTGCCGTTGCTGCAGGCCAGGAACTTCCTAGCACGTACACTCGCAATCAAGCTGAATAGCTCTAAGAGCGGCAGCCTGTCTTCATTGACGGGGACCCAGGACGCTGTGTGACAGTGCCCTACAGAAGCGTTGACAAAGCACTCTTGAGAGGTAGCTTCAGCTGCAGACGTTGGCTTTGGCTCTCGTGTATGAATTGCATGACCGCGTGGGGTAGCAGGTCGTCTGCTTGATTTCGTAGTTTTGGGCTCCACTTGCATTTGTGACATTTGCGCAGTGAGAATGCGGCAGAAACTGGCACTCCCCATGAAGCGGCCTGCTGGCAACAAAGGCTCTGGGCCACGCAAGAAGCCGGCTGCTGGGACACGAGTTCAGCAGGCAAGGGCAGAGCCTCTGGCCGACCTGCCGGAACCTCATGCTGCAGCGCTGCAGCAGCCTTTGGAGAGCGGAGCCCGTTCGCCAGCGGCGCGACTGCTGGTGTATGCCTCCGACTGCAGCGGGCTCGATGGTGGTGCGATGGCCCTCAAGAGTCTGGGGTTGAAGTACGAGCACCTCTGGGCCTCGGAAAAACAGAGTGCTTACCGCAAGATATTTGAAGCAACGCATCCGGACTGCGCTGTGGTGTTCCATGACATGACGAGCCGCCCAACAGAGGCTCTAGAGATGGCGCGAAAGCGCCAGAATCAACTTCTTCTATATTGCGCGGGCTGGCCGTGCCAGCCGTACAGCGGCGCGGGGCTGCAGCAAGGAGAGGCGGACGCTCGCTCCAAACCAGTTTGGGCAGTTCTTCTTGCCATAGAGATCGCCCGGCCAGACCTTGTTCTACTGGAAAACGTTCCGCCATTTATCGAAAGTGGCAAGTTTCGAAAGATCGCCAAGGAATGCATCGACTTCTTGATGAGCATCGGGAATGGAGCTTACTACGTGGACTGGCAAGTGCTAGACGCCTACACACATGGTGGCGCGCCCTGGAAGCATCAGGCTAGCTAACTATGCGTGTTCTTATGTCTCGCCTGCCTGAACTGAAATCATAGACCTGGAGTCTGCAGGTACCTGCTTCGCGTAGTCGAGTCTACATCATTGCTACTCGCAAGGACCGGATTGTGAAGCCCTGGCAATGGCCCACCCCAATCCCAGCCCCAGGCCTCACACAATTTCTGGAGCCTCGAGCAGCGACGTCGGTGGCCGACGTCAAGGGCCGCCTGGATGGGATGAACATCACTGGCCTGCGCAATCTAGACGCTGCCATGCGCCTCATCCCAAAGAAATGGCCAGGCAAAGACGCTGCCAGAGACTGCTTTGTTGTGGACCTGAAGAACAGTGAACAATTTGGTCCGCAGGTGAGCTATGACAAGTTCAGCACAATAACCAAATCTCATGCTGGCGACCTCTGGCTCACCCACTTGCAGGACAGAGCTCGGCCCTCTGAGGTGCTCGCTGCCCAGGGTTTTCAGCGGAGCTCGGTGCGTACACCTGCCGGATGCACGGACAAACATCTCTACGAGATGGCTGGAAATGCTTTCTGTGTCCCTGTCGTAACTAGAATCTTCAGAGCAGTTCTGCCAGCGCTGGGCTACCCAATGTAGGCCACAATTAAGCAGAATGCGGGGCCTGGCTAAGTCCTATTATTTTGTAGCAGCAGGGACTGATTTTGCAGCGTTAGCGGTCCTGCTCCAGAGTCTTTTAAGCGCGCAGATGCGTGCAATGTGCGTTGGCCGATGATGGTGCATATGCTCTGTACAACATTGGGGCCCTTGCAGAGCCTCTGCTGGCAGCATGGTGCGACATAAAAAGCCGCTGTCACTTTTTACCTCTATAGGCCGAGTCCATGGTGCGCTTCAGGGAGCGATTTCTGTCCAGAGTGCGAGCCACCTGATCCTCGTTCAAGCGTCCGTAGGCTTGATATGTCTTGTGGTCCTTGATCCTTGCTTGCACCATGCCAACTTCAGACGGTACATTGGACACTTTCATATCATTGATGAACCTGTGTCTCCCAGAGTGGCTCCTGATGGCTTCTGTGTTCACACCTGGCAGGTTGAAGGCGCGCCGTGCCTTCACAATGGCGTGCGCCACCACATCCTTGGACATCGGTGCTCCAGGCTTGTACTTTGCAGGGAAGAGGTAGTCACTTGCGTGCGCGGGCCATGTCCACTTGTCACAGAATCTCTCCTGCCCACGCGACCCCATAAGTCTAGTCCTCCATCGCCTGATGCCATTCTTCTGCAAATTTTTAATCACCTGGAGCGACTTGGCCAGCAGCCATTTCCGTACCTGCAGTCAGTCATGTGTGAAATCATGCCTTGAGTATGCTTAGCCTGAGTACTACAATCTGGTATGGACATTCCTGGCCTCAGGCCGACGCTTCAGGGGACATATGCGCACGCGACGCTGGCGCAGATTGAAATCCTGGCGCCGCAGCGCAAGCACTTCACTTACGCGGCAGCGCAGGAGATGTGTCAGGGTCACGACCGCGTACAACCAAGATGGCCCGAAGCGCAGCAGGTGCTGTCGCCAGGCATGCCATTGCGTGCCTGGAAGGCTGCACGCTTGCCCGCGCGGAGGCATGGCTACAAGAGACAGCGGAACGGCAGGTCGCGAAAAACTTGCGGTCTGAACCTGGCCCGTCACGTCAACAACATGTTCTAGGGTGACTGCTTCTCAAGCGAAACAGGTATACTGTGCTGCTAAAATGCCCAAAAACCCTGGGCAGTCGCCTAATACCCCATTAAGCGACCTGCCAAACCCGCCTACTTCACTAACCACCGCAACCAGCAGCCCCGATTAGGCGACCTGCCCCTAATACCTCATATACCTCATTTCCACAGCCTCAGTAGGCATCATGTCTTAGCTTGCCCTGGGTTCTGGGCGGCGGCAGCTGCTAAATTCAGTCAGCTATAGGTCTGAACCTTCCACAGCCTAGGCTACCTACTTATGCTAGTCCAGAGTCTGACGGACAAATTCGTGGCTCTTAGTCTGCATCTTTCACAGGGCCTTTTCCTACCATGCTTGGATAGGCTCCTCTCAAATTTCAAATTGAATGCTCAATATATACAGTCACATTCGGCTTCTCAACTGCACGAACTCTCAAAGTTCCCTGCCTCTCAGTGGAATGGGAGGCGTACAGCCCATGATGGTGCCACCAATCCTGAGCACGCATTCAGCTTGTGACAATAACTCTTCTCGCAGCTGCGGGACACTTCTTCAGCGTCTGGGACACTTCTTCAGCGTCTGGGACACTTCTTCAGCGTTTTCAGAAGCAAGCTTATAGTTTGGGTGTTTAGGATCTGCTTGGAGGTTCGGGGTACTTAGAACCCAACTCTACCTGCACTTACAAGCCAATTGTAATACCCCCAAGTACAGTTACCAAGGTTATAACTGGGTTATAAATACCCTGAACCTCCAAGTGGATCTGCCCCTGTCTACCCCTCAGATATGTAAGCGAGAAGAATCACTCGAATTGTAGCGCTGCTACGAGGAAGGGTGGTTGTCCTGATTCGGTACCAGGATTAGAAGGGACAGAATTCCAAGGCTGTCGCTGTCAGTGCCAGGTGTCCGACTGATGACGCTCTTCCCGGCCACGGCCTCAATACAACAGGAGTGCTGATTTCCTTCGATCTGCGAGCGTATTATTCATTCTGAGACGTCATGTATGTTGTCTCTATGAAACATCTCAGGACGCTGTAGAAGTGTCAGGACGCTGTAGAAGTGTCAGGACGCTGTAGAAGTGTCAGGACGCTGGAGAAGTGTCAGCTGGCCTAGAGTACACTGCTCAATTGATGTCAGGCCTCAATCCATCTTCGTGGCGGCGCCTGCGCCCCATGCAGCAAGGCCTCCGCAGCGGCTTCCCAACGCTATTCAGTACTTGTGACAATGCCTCCGAGGGTAGAACGCTAATAATGATTTGCGATGGCAAGCCAATAAAAGGAGTAGTCATAGCAGTGCGGTGCCATATAGTAGCCAGCTCGGTTGTCTACTTGGAGTAGGAGTGACAGCGACCAAGTGGAATGGGTGATGACCATAAATTGCGCCAGGTCTCCTGAACTGGTTGATGCGCTGCTCTCCGAGCCAGAACCTCAAGGTCTCAAAATCATGGTCTCCATTTGCTCTCTGCGTTGAATTGGGTTCATGATTCTGTGTGAACGCTAACTTGAGCACTCAATGCGTGCAGGTTGTGGCCTGAAGCACAGGATCCGTCATGTTACATATCTTAGCTTACCAGGTACTTGCCAACATAGGGTTGAATTGCAAGACGATGTAGTGACAGAAGCTCTTGCTTGCTTCCCTAGCTTGTCCCTAGCTTCTCCCCGACTCGCCATGGCACCGAAGTGGCAGCCAGGGTGGGCTCAGTACCAGCAAGGTCAGGACCAGCAGTGGCAGGACGAGCAGTGGCAGGGCCCGCAGACGCAGGCTGAGACGCAGGGCAGCGAGGGGCAGGCGCGCAGGCGCAGGCTGAGCATCCGCCGGGCCACAGGGCGGACAAGGCCCAGGATCGCCGGCACGAGCTGTACCGGGCCAAGCAGGACATAAAGAGGCTCGAGGACAGGCTGGTGGAAGTCAAGGATCAGTGCCAGCTGGAGAAGCGAGTCATGGCCTTGGAGCACCAGAAAAAGATCAGCGACATGCTTGCGCAGCAAGCAGCGGTGATGCTGAACCACCAAGCGGAGCTGGGCAAGAAGCAGGAAGAGATGGATGATCTGAAGGCCCGGCGCAAGACGGAGGAGGATGGTCTCAGGGCCGAGATCCAGAGCCTGACTTCGAGGCTACAGGCAGAGGAGCAGAAGAAGAAGATGGCAACCGCAGCGGACCTGAAGCCGTGGATGGACGCCAACGACAACTTCGTGAAGCAGGAGAAGGAGATGACCGCAAAGATCGATGAGCTGCGGAACGAGAGGGTCAAGCTGAAGAAGGCTGGGCACCACCTCGCCCCCTCAATGCAATGAAGCTTCAAGAACTCCTCCCGTTTCAGGCCAACGAAGCTCTGGACAAGGAGCTGAAGAACGCCAAGGAGGCATGGCAGTCAGCGTTCAAGCAAGCTTAACAGCGAACCCTTCCCCCCAGCCTTGACATCAGCGCCAGGAGAACAAGATCATCATCAGCATCTATGAGGATGAGATCAAGAAGGCGCAAGGGGACATGCTTTCAGCTCGTTTTCTTGAGCTGCTGGCCGGACAGGCGACTGCCACCGTAGCCAGTGGGACCAAGGCTGGGTTTCTTTTCGGCGCTGCTGCTGATTTGCTTTCTGCGCAACTCCTGCAGGTTGATGAGGGGGAGCCCGTCAAGAAGACGGATGACAATGAGGGTGGGCCCGTGAAGAAGACGCCGGCCAACGAGGCACGGGCTCAAGATTCAAAGACAGCAAACGTAACTTTCGCTGACCAGGTCACAAAGAACAAGGCTGAGAAGGTTGAGGGGCCGCCGAAGAAGGCAGTTTGCTTAGTAGTTGAAAGTCAATTAATTACACGTAAGCGAGCAGCCAGGCAAGAAAGCGTGCAGAATCTCCAAAGCACAAGGCAGAGTTGAGTGCCCACAGCTTACTCTTTTAGGTCCTGAATGTTGGATTGCGTCAGGATGGAGAAGCGGACTCGGAGAAGGACACGAAGGTTAAAAAGAAGAAGAAGGAGAAGAAGCAGAAGGACTAGAAGGCCAGGCAGTCTGTGCCCCCAAGTTAGCGTTTGGGAAGCTTTGTTTCGCAGGTGAGAAGTCCCCTACGACATGGAGTGAGCGGCGCCATGCGAAGCTTGTGTACCACATCAGATCATCCATAGCCCCGTATAATACTCCCAAACCCTGAGCGTGCTAGCCTCTGCCCCTCTGATCTCTTCTAAGTCCAGCTAGATTCAAGCTATAGACCTATCCTATCCCACAAACCCTTGTAAATTGTGCTGCGCTCAGCCGGGCTAGGAGCTTGAGAAGGTCAAAGAAACTAAGCAATTTTTCTGCCTTGATTGCCAAACTTAGATCCTTGAAAGCTCCCAGCGGCTATTTGATGGCAGCCGGGCTCAGTTGCAAGAGAACCGACAAGAACGACACTTCTTACGCTACATCTGCTATGACACAACAACATACGTACATGAAAGTCCACACCAGTTGTGGCAGGCTGCCGGTTTTTAATTTAATGTACAGACTCCGAGCACGCAGCCTCCGAAAGCAAAAATTCACTTTACAAATTTTCCGGAAGCCCCTGCTCATCTAGTTTTCAACATGTCGCCAAGGAACGACAATGGCTTCGCGACATCGCAGCTGCCCCAACTCCTTCAGTACGCCGGGTTTAAGGTTTAGGGTTTAGGGTCTAGGGTTCAGGCTTTAATTCCCAGGCGTGGGGATAGCCATCTTCAGGGCTGCGGCTTCTGGCATCTTGCAGTTCCAGCTTCAAAAGGGTTCAGGATTTAGGGTTACTTAGGAGACGCTGAGCAAGTGATCCGACGCTGAGTAAGTGTCAACAGTAAGTGCCAAACCATTGATTTGAGTGTGTTTTCATACGAGACTCATTTTACAGGGTCCCCATTGTTGTATACTCCTTGACTTGTCATGTACCCCTGGAAGAACACTCCTCGCCAAGGCCGTGACGAAATCTGGAATGCCCTGGAGGAGGCGATGCGTTTAGGGTACGGATGATAATGCAAAATTGTAGAAGACTTCTATGAATGCTCAGAAAGGTTTAATTTGCAAGCCTTCCGACTGTTTTGGGCCCTTGTAGCCCACGATGTACATCAACGGGAGAATCTAGAAACCCTAAACCCTGAATCCCAGCATCTTCATAAATATTTAGGAGTGCCCGGCGCCCCAAGCTCAGTACTGCCAGGGAAGCCATGACAGCACTTCTTCAGCGCCCCAGCACTAGCGCAGCGCTCTGTCTTCGGCACTTACTCAGCGCCCTCGGCACTTGTTCAGCGCCCTAGACACTCTTTCAGCGTCTTTCCCGCCTCCAGCGTAGACCTGCTGCGCGAAGAAGAACCTTTCCTGAAACCTGACGGGGCCCTGACCAAGACAGCTTGGGGTGCAGGAGGTATCTAAACCCTAAGACCTAAACCCCTAAGACCCTTAAAACCCTAAGCCCTCAAGCCTAGTAAGCTTTTACTTTTTAGAGAACTCGGGCGGGTTTAGGGTGCAGGGTTTAGCTTTTAAGTTATTGGCGTCGAGAGAATTTAGTTGTCTGGTGTGATCTCTGGATTTTTTTTGGAGCTGCCATCCAACACAAAATATTTTCCCTCTGATTTTCAAACCTCAGGGTCTAGTCTTGAAACTATTTGGCATGGAGAGAATTTACTTTCTTGGAGCGCTATCAAAAAACAAAAAAAGCACTTGTCGCCGCCCCCCTCCATCCCCCCGTGTGCTGACTCAATGATGCTGATTCTAGGTTGCAAGATTCTTGCAACCTAATCTCTCTGATGTCCCTGCAGCGCCCCTCCAAAGAAAACATCAGTTATTTCCAGATCCCAGCACAGCACTGCAAGTTCTTTGCCAGGGTTTAGGGTTTAGGGTAAAGGGTTTACGGTGAAGGGTTTAGGGTTTAGGGTCTCTCGCAGTTTAGGATCACCTAGGGTTTCATAGTCATAGTTGCCCTCCAGTGCACACAACCGCCAAGTTGCAAAGGGGGCATTGTGGTTCCATACCTCGGCAACCAAGGAACCCTTGACACTGGACATATTGTTGATACTAAAAGTCCTGCATGACCCTAGTATACTATAGTACCAGAATTCCCAAGGTTTAGGGTACTTAAGGTCATGCAGGATTTTTGGTATCCACCGTAAGGGTCCCTTTTGTAGCTTAGTATATTTCAAAATATAGTCCTTAATGCTAAATTCATGTTCACGAATTATCTGGGAAATATTGATTCTGGTTCATATGCCATGCACCTGAATACGACTCAGCGTTGCCAAAATCTGGGGTACCCGAATTTAGACCCCCAAAGTACTGTAATCCATACTGGCGCCCCCAGCATTGCAGCACACTTTATCTCGGAACTTGAGATTTCTGGTTGAGGGGTCACTCTGGACAACGCAGTCATAGCTTTCTTGTGCAACCGTTGTACTTAGAGCTTCGAACCTGCATATCCCCAAGCTTGTTGATCGCACGGCTTAGGATTTAGCGTCTAACCCCCATATGTATATGGTACTTTCCCTAAATATGGGAACCCCGATATAAACCCCAATATACTATAATCCTTATTGTGGGGACCCCCAAAAAGGTACCCCTAATTTTGGGAAACCTCCACATGTGGGTAGCTTGGAAGATTGTACCTGCGCAGTGCAGTAGGAGTGGCTAGGCTGAAGCCCCAGTCAGCTGCTGCGCTCAACCCATGTCGTAGGCTTCTACTGTCCCCTTCCATTTTGGCGCACCCAAGTTTTCCCTTGCGTACTATCTTCACCACAAGGTGGACTAACAATAGGTATCCTACGTTATACTTACGTAAGCCAGCCCAGCATCTACTAATTACTTTGTGACTGTATTGTTTATCCTCATGAAACCCAAAAGTATCCTGATATAACCCTATAGTATCCCTATATAACCCTACATTATCACTATATAACCCTACCGTATCCCTGTATAACCCTATGACTGTATTGCTATTGGCCTGCTGATGGCACCATGGTGTGGACTCCGGTGAAGCCTCCCGGCTGTTCTAAACGAACGATGACTTCAAAGAAGTTGGGGGGTCCCTTTAGAGGGGATATGGAGGTGATGTAGGGATAGATAGGGCAATATAACGTTTAGGGGGGGTCCATTTTGGATGTTGTTTCGTTTCGGATCCACATGCTTTGGGCTAGACGAGGTTTGGAGTGAGGGCAGGGTTGACATCCGTGAGCCGATTAAGGTATCCGCAATTCCTCGCAGCTCGCAGTCAGGGCTGCGGGCTAGGCTCAAGTGTGTAGGCGATAGCCAGTGCTCGGCAAGCCTTTCGTTTGCGAGCGTGGAAGCCAGAAACATGTCTTCTGGACTACAACACCAACTCCCACACCCCCCTAAACCCTAAACCTACAACCCCAAACCTACGCCCCAAAATTGAAAGACATAAAGCCCAAACCCCCCAGAATGGGATCCAGAATAAGCACGGCAGCTTCCCGGAGGGATCCACATGTGTGCGGCATGCAAGACATAGGTGTTACATGAGGGGCATAGAGGCAAACCTTGGGCTGAGAGATTTGGGCTCATAATCATCATGGAGAATCAATGAAATGAGCGTTGTGTGAGGCTTTACATAGGGGATTCGTATAGTGGCTATTAAGGAGGATACTAGGAGTTTAGACTACAGCTCACATGAAAACGACCCGAAAACTGGACATTTGTGTTTGCTGGTGCTGGATTTCAGGGGCACACAGAAGATAGATTTGGGAATTTGGGCCTCAAGTTCCAGCTGAAACTGGTAGCTGTCTCTAGCAGCGCAAATAGTTGTCGGTATTATCCCTCCATCATCCGTCCAAGATATAGGTCCACATTTTGAAAAATGTCTATTCCACTCGGTGCTTACACGAGTTCTGCTTTCGGACTTCTGTAGATGCCTTTTGCGCAGGGCTGATGCTAGTCGCTCGGTTGAGCGGATTTCTACGCTTGCCCTAACACCGAAATTATACTTGCCAAAGCCCGCACAAGCTATAGTCTAAACTCCTAATGGGTTAGTGTAAGGGGGATACTGGGACATAACGATGTCTGCTGTAAAGATCCCAAAGTATTCGGTGATTGTTTCCTGGACCCTGGGCGTTTGGGGAGGCCTCACCTGCTAATAGTGACCACAGCGGATTCTGGTGAGGGTTTAGGGCCTAGGGTTTAGGGCTTCTGGCTTCTCACTGCGCAGCGGCGGGAGGTAACACGTAGAAATGGCATCCCGACACACCTAGGGGTGGGGGGGGGGGGCATATCTTAGGTCTTGCAACAGCACATCTCTCGTGCCCAGCAAACTCACAATTGGCGTGTTGGTGTATTATTCCCGCCTCTTGCTCACGCAGGCATCCACCCACCTTTATTCCTTTTGGTTTTGGGCTGACACCCTAAATTCGCAACAGGCCTACATAACTCTTTAGGCTTGCATACTGTAGTAGCTCCAAGCGATGGTGTGACTAGCTGCTGGATGTAGGTCTGGGTCTAGGCACCTTGGAAAAGGGAGGGTACGGCCTAAGCCTTAAGCATTAGGGATTAGGGGTTGAGGTACATTCTGGTTATACAAATATTAGTGCTTAAGGGCCTGGCCAAATACATGAGTATTGTATGCGCCATGGAGGATCTTGAAAATTGAAGGGGAAGGCTATGAAGGTTATGTCCCTCTCACGGAGTCTAGACGGGTGATGTTAACAAACTCTCAGAAAACATTAACTGCATCAAAAGGTTTACGCACAGAGGGTCCCAGTACCTCCCTTAGATCCCCCAAGCCCTTCAGACTGTAGTGTGTCCTACTAGGTTCTTACATTGGTACTTGGACTTAGGTATTT